CAACTAATAAAATGTATTTAACATTTTCCACAAAAACAAATAAGCATACACACACATACACACAGACACAAGATTGTCCTGATAACTAAAATGCAAGAAATATGTTTCCTCATTTATTTTTACCAATTTGATTTCACATCAGAAAATAGATTTGACTTATTGATTTTAACACTTATAATTTCAATCAACATATATTTAGAGAAAGAAATTTGATTTTTCTTAAAATGATGTACATGCTTGTGTCCCTATCATCTTTCTCCAATCATTTCTTCTTAGAATTTGAGCAAGATTGGCTTTTCAGCAGTAATGTATTCTCAAGTCATATGTAAATTTTTCAAAGAAAAGTTTTTGGTATGTCTGTAAGTGAGGAATGTTTGAATACACTAAAATGTATTCACAATGTAACAAAGGTTAATTCTAAAGCTTTCAGTTACTTACTACCTTTGGCAAATAACTAGTTGCATTTCTTATATTTAACTTCCTGCCATTGACAAGTAAGTTCCTTGTCAACTAGTTATTTGCCAAAGGTAGTAAGTAACTCATAAAGAATTTATACAAAACAGAATTAAGTACTGCCCAGTTCTGTACCATCCTCACCATTGTTGTTATATTTGGGGCCATTTTTGCAGTCAATGTGACAGTTCAGTTTATATCTTTCTCTTTTTCTCTGAACATACACTTCACCAGAGAAGTCCTATTCCAATGCTCAATCCCTCTTAATAATATGTCCAAAATGCAAATGATGCAGTATTGCAATCCTCACTTCTAAGGGACATTCAGCCTATACTTATTTCAAGACAAATTTGTTTCGTTTTCTGGAATTCTAGGGTGCTTTCAATATTCTTCACTAACTACACAATTCCAATGCATTGACTATTCTCCAGTTGTCCCTATTCATTGCCCAGCTTTCATAGGCACAGGAGGCTATTGAAAATATGATGATATGGGTCCTGTACACCTTAGTCCTCAAAGTGACATCTTTGTTCTTTAACACTTTAAAGGAGTGTTTTGTAGCAAATTAGTCTGATGCAATATGTCCTTTGATTTCTTGAATGCTGCTTCCAAAAACATTGATTGTAGATCCAAAAAATGAAATCTTTGGTAGCTTGGATCTTTTTTCAGTTATTATTATAGTTTTATTGATCCAGTTTGTGAAGATTTTGTTTCCTTTACATTGACTTGCAACCTATACTTAGTGCAGTATTTTTAATCTTCATCAGCAAGTGCTTAAAGTGTTCTTCCCTTTCAGCAAGCAAATTGTGTCATCTGCATATCACTAGTTGTTAATGAGCCTTCCTCTATTCCTGAAGTTGAGTTCTTCATATATTCTAACTTTCTGGATTATTTGCTGAGTATGGTAGTGTAGTGATTATGATTCACATTGCTAACCTCAAGGTTGGCTGTTCGAAACTACCAGCTGTTCTGCTGGAGAAAGGTGAGGCTTTTTGCTTCCATAAAGATTTGCAGCTTCGGAAACACTGTGAAGGGTCACTATGAGCCTGAACCGACTCCAAGGCACTTAACAACAACAAGATACAGATTGAATAAGTCTTGTGAAATGATACAACTTTTGGACATATATTTCCTGATTTTAAACCATGATAGCCCATTGTTTTGTCTGAATGACTGCCTCTAAATCTGTGTATAAGATCTACATGTGCACAATTAAAAGTTTTGAATTTCCATTTTTTCATAATGTTATGCATAGTTTGCTAAGATGATTTATTAATTATGCTAAGTCAAATTTCTTTGCATAATCAATTAAACACTTATGTTATTTTCTTATTTATCATAAATGTTTTATGCTAAATCATAAAACATCCTTATGTGGCACTATAATAATCACTGAATGCTAAACACAACATTGGTGGTTCAAACCTACCAATTGCTCCTCATAATCTCTATACAGCATTGGTTTGAGCCAGAACTGACTCCATGGCAGTTAACAACAACAAATATCTTAATTGTATATTCTGTTGTCAACCAAGATCTGTTTGAACTCACTCACTCCCTGTCTTTTTCTGAGGCCAGCTTTAATTTTTGTCAGCTCCCATTCAGTTTGCTGCTGCAACCATTTTTGAAATATCTTTAACAAAATTTTACTTTTGTATTACATAAATGATACTGTTCGATGATTTCTACATTCTGTTAGCTAGCTTTTCTTTGAAGGGGCACAAATATAAATATCTTCCAGTTAGTTGGCCAGGAAGTT